TAACCATCCAAATGCTATGGCTCTCTCTGTGCTTGTAACAATCGAGATGCTCAACGCAGTAAACTCGTTAGTTATCTTCATATCATGCCCACTAATTGCTCAGGAAATTGATACTCATAAAATGAGATTGGTTGATCTTCAGATTATCCGAAAACCAATCAGTAGTTGTCATGCCGCCGTGGAAGAACGTATGGTTATGTGCGGCCATAGCTTTATCAATGTCGCTTCACTTTGTCATTCTCTATGTCGATATCATGGCAACTATCTTCCAAGTATGATAGGCAAAAATTCTATTTAACTCGTTTTTATTTTCAGCTTGAGAATTACGTTTTCAGATAACACCGCTATGCCTCGCAGAATGGATGGCTGTTTTGAAGATCTCGATACCTGTCATATTTCTTGATGAAATTCTTAAATTCGTCGCACGCAATTATATCGACGGTAAGCCGGCTACACGTGCAACCAGTTTGCGAGCTGTCATATCGCTAGCTGGTCTCGGAGCTATTTGGTGTGCATATTTTGGCTGGATGTTGGGCCCCTATACAAAACAGATCGAGCGTGCGTTTGGTGGCCCCACTATACCATTACATAAGGAGTTATAGAGCCTCAATATTTTGCTAATCTATTTTGATGACGCATGTCTTCCCTCTTCATTACTAATCGAATGGTGTGTCATTGTTAACAGACCTAGATAGGGGGTATCCATCTATCTCGTGCTCTTATTCTGAAAGCTGCTCATGCGCGCTGTCCGCGAAAATCAAGGGTATATAGCGCCTTCCCAACACTATCATTTACGGACACATATATATGTGCATTTGACCATAAGGCTAATCGTTGTCCTTCGTTCTGCAACCCCTACTTATCTGGCAGTCCGAGCTTATAGCGTTCGGGTGCTTTGTTGCGGGATTCTATCCGTCTTCCTGTTTGCTTTTCACCTATTATTTCGTTGATCTATCTATATCTATGTTCTTGATACAATCCGTTCATGTTGTTCTTCTTTTCATTTCCGTCGAATCGTCTCTAATCTCGTCATCTAGTTGCTGAATTCATAGCTTATTTGCAATGTTCTCACTCACCCAGTAATTATTTCCCCGTACCTAGTTGTGATATCCTGAGTGTGAACTGACCAAGTAGTCAGGTGGTCTCTACTTTTGTTATGCACTTCTGCGATGTTTTGTTTGTTTTATAGAGGAATAATAATAATAATTTATTTTCCTTTGTTTTACTTACCCTGATTTAATACATGATAGAACTTAATTATATCCATCTATAGGTAACTAATTTCTTGTGTGATGTGTTCCTCTTAGTATCAAAAATAACAACCATAAAATAGTTATCCAGGTGTACTTGTATTGCAGATTGCAAGGATTTCTATTGGGAAATCCTCAAATTTGTATTTAGGAAAGAGTTTCTTGAGTTCCATTTACTATGCATGTTAGTGCAGCTATGCATGGTACAGCTATACGTGTTAATCCTAGTTTTGTCTGAAAGCTGAATTTGCATGTTTGTTTCTCTGTCGATGTGAGGCATGAGGGATTTACTTGGAGCACTTCGTTCGTCAGTGTCACAGTATATAAGTGTACGTTAATTGGAAAATCTGAAAAGAATTACTTCTCCTAAACCGCGAGGCTGTAAATATGCACGAGTCAAAGTTCATCCTTCAATCTTCCAATGTATGTACAATGTTGAGTGATATGCAGGACATTGAACCTCTCAGACGGGAATCGAATCTGCATTCCACTCTACTTGGGCGCATACTAACCAATTAAACTATCGACGCTCCTGATCTGCTATCACTCTTCAGCGATATAGGGTATCGATCTGCTATCAGGCAATCGTCAACAATTCGGGTTAATCAGCACATATCAGCGTTAAGCCCAATATCTGGTGATAGCAGAGCGGTAGCCTCGGTTGTGTAGTTCGTCAGCATGCGTTCCCATAAGGGGAAGGGCGCAGTGCGGATTCAATTTCTGTATGATGTGAAAAAATTTGTATGTCATTACCACCTATGCATGAACCATTATGTTTCAATTTGGGGCTATGGCATGCATGTATCGGTGAATCGTTTCTATTTGTTATGTTCATTCAGCAGTTTTTCAGTGGAAGAACCATCGGAACTGCAGCAGTTGCAGCAGAAGAAGTGGAACTGAACTCATTTGTGCGCTTCGAAAACACGTTTGGTTTGCAATATTATGACAAGCGTCACATCTTCGTTAGGAATGACGAGGTTTTGATTCGTGTTGTCGACCGACATCTCTCCTTCAAAGATGTTGCCCGTTTAGTCTTTGTTTTGTTTCCCTTATATAGGTGTTAGTTGACGGTCATCAGTTCTTGCAAGCACGTCGCATAACGGTGTCACTGTCATTCTAAGAGTACAATTGCATAGAGTTCGAGCCCGACAGGAATGACAAATTTGCGACAGACTTGGACCTTCTAGGTTTATCATGTTAATAGCTTCAGATCAGTAATATAGTGATGATGTTAATTTTAGTGCTTACGTGTAGTAAGAGATCTAGAAAAGAAAATAATCAGACTTTTTATGATAGAGTGCCTGAATACTATAATTCAATTTTTGATTTCACACTTATCTCTAATGAATTAATGCTGGGATGGACTGTATTGCTCAAATGTTCATCAATGGTCAACAATTCTAGTTCTAATTGTCTTGAACTCGTTGACCAAGATGTCATCCCCATTGAAATTTGGCTCAAATCGTTGTAAGACATACGGTATATTCGGAATTTTCTAACGGTGATAGTTTCGTGTTATAGAAGAATACTTGAAAAATTTTTCTTTATGATAAAACTGGATACTTATGTCGTAGTTTCTTCGCTTGAATGTTTTCCAATCAGCAATTCTCATGTGTTTTTGACTAACAGTTGATCGAAACAACGACGTTTGAGTTCATCAACTCTGGAACCTATTTTTAGCAGAAATCAGGAACAATTCTGGAAAGATAGCTTCAATTCCTTCTTGGTTCCATCTGAAAATCAAACAGCTGAACAATTGTGATATGGTAAACTGACTGAAAACGGAAACTCGATAGTAAACCAAAAGACTGAGTTGCCGTCACGACCTTATCGCACAGATTTCATTCAAACATAGTCTACATGAAGGCTAAGTGGTCTTTTTAAAGTGAGAATCAAAACCCTGAAATTATAAAAAGTTCGTCGCCGATTAGTCCTTGAGATAGGCGCCATGAACTAGACCTCACTTAGGATTGTATAGATAATAAACGCATATTTGGCCAATACAGTGATTTTTCCAAAAACTAGCGTCGGTTTCCTGAGCCATCCAGGTATGTGTCTGTATCAACGCCCGATTTCTACAAAATGAAAGGTTCATATTAGCTCGGGTTGTGGGATCGAACCAATGATCATGTGTATACTAGCAGTACACCTCTTGGAATACTGCGCTACACGGAAGCTGAAGTATTTGACAACATCCGCACAAAATAAGTACATTTTGGGTCAACCTACGTATACCTTGCGGTTTTAATGAATGCAATACAAACAAAAATAGGCCTCTAGAATGACTCGCGGTCGCCTAGCGATGTATCAAGTCAATACTGCTATCCTCACAGACAAGCCTGATAGCAGCTTGCTGATCACAGAAGGATGAGATGCTTGGTGAGCCTTGAGGGCGGGATTGAACCATTGACTATGTGCGTAACGCTATCTCTTGCCACGACGCGGCACGTGCCCAAGAATAGTCCTATAATCCCTCTGATAGTTCTATCAAACGATAAAACAAGTCAACAGAAGAATTATGAGAAAAACATCAGACGGACCAAATAGATTAGCCGACAGATGCGTCAAAGGGAGCATTCTTTTCCTACTAGTAATTAAGTGAATCGTATCCCGAAAGAGGACCTCCAGAGATGGATAATATATGTATTGATCGGTCAATAAGATCTGAAACGATGATGGTTTGGTAGCGCGTAATCTAAAGAAGAAACATGTGAAACATCCAAAGCAGACACAGCTCAAAAGGATTCAAACACTCAATAATAGGGATTGTGAAGGTTTTCCTAAGACCCGAATCTTTGGTTATATCTATGGTGAAATATCGGAAAAACGATTAGCTGTAGGTGAACATCTTAATGGTTTGCCCAATCATGTACGCGTGAAAGCTTAAGTTATGGGGTTTCGGAAGCGGCTTTCTGATGACCTTGACACAAATCAGTAACTCATGTTTTCTCTTTAGATGTTACGAGGTTATTACATACGAGATTTGCTCAAAACTGGCTAACATTCCAGCGGATTTCGCTACTTTCAAAGCCTGGGAAGAGTAAAGAAGGCACGCAGTCTACTCAGCTAAACAGTCATAAGTCCATCCATCGAGTGGTTTTCACAGTGCTTAAAAACATTCAATACAGTCTGTGAAGATGCTTAGAGCCCGTTCTAGGTTGGTACGCAGAGCCATACGTACGTTTCGGCAGTGTCGCCGCTTCATGAGTGGCTCAAGTTCCACGCTGAATCCTAGGATGGTGAGACGTTATTTATTGTGATAGCATGCAATATTGTGTTCTCATCACTTTTTTTTTAGTCGATAGAATGGTAATATAATATTCACAATATCATGTGCTATCACTATAAATAAACGTCTCCTCATCCCAGGGCACAGTGCGGTGCGTGGGCCGCTGAAAAGGTCGGCTTACAAAGGAAAATCTGTGATCTATTGAAGAATGCTAAAGTTGATAGAGAGTCAGTTTTAGGATTTGCTCATTTGTCAAGTTTTTCCTCTTGCTGTTGAAGCGAGGAGAGTGTTTGACTGGGTAGATTACATGCCAGTTTGCCCATTTCAAAACAAGCGAAACCTCCGAATCGTCAGCTGTTATAGTATTGCGCAAATCTTGCTCTCAACGACCCCGTGTTTGCTCCTCAAGAAAGCGATAAATCATCCGTCAAATGCCAAAATTAATCGAAAGTCGATCTTCATACGGAATAATCACAAGTGCATTTATATATCCGACAATGTTGAGTGTATGCAGCACTTTGAAGGCCGGACGGAATTCAAACCCGCGATTCACTATTCCCGGAGGAGCGTGCTAACCATTGCACTACCGGCGCTCCTGTTCTGCCATCACGAAGTGCATTTATTGCCAAGAGGTAATTGAAGAACCAGTAAACCCGGAGATAACAGTGCGGAAGTATACATTAAACTCAAAATACAGAGAAAAAGAAAGATTAGGAACACAAAGATTCGAAAAATGAAGGAAAGAAAAACAGACATTCAAAGAAAGAGTGGTGGTAGGGCGCTGGCCTTCAGGATGTAGTGATAATACTCGCCACCCTATGGGAGAGCGCGGGTTCAACTCTTGCCTGGGAGTCAAATTTTACAGCATATAACTCAACAAGATGTGATAACAGTTGCAACATCATACCAGTGCTATTAGAGCAGTAAAGATAAAAGACAATCCGATTCTTTCTCGTTTGGTAGCACGGGGTGATGAAACGAATCCTTTCGCTGGACAAGAATTTTCCATAAGAATGTTAGTGATCAATCGAAAGCTTAAATCTCTGGCTAGCGCTGTACGTGGTCGCTTTTAGAAAAGACCCTTTCATAACGCTGTGAAATTCAAAGTAAAACTACTGTTTTACATAGGCCGCGACAAATTTACTATTACTTCGCTGGGAGCATGAGAAGCATATGAACGTGTAGAGGAAATCTTGTTGTATCAAAGTCTTATGTTTGGTCCCGATTTGTCTTCAGAACGGAGAAAAAATTCCCCATTAAATAACAAAATCGCACTTCACGTGTGTAACGCATCAGCGCTATCGATCGATCACCGTGTTATAACCGCGGGCAGCCCCGCTGCGCCCCTCTCCCAACCCGTAGCGTATCAAAAGAAGCAATTGCCCGCTTATGTGAAATAATCTTATCCTGCTACATTGCAGAAACGGTCTTTCCAGAAAATAAGCACAGCGTTGAAAATATTGAATTTTACGCTATCGAATGATTACTGGTAGTCCGAAGGAAGATTTTTGTCCTGTGAGAAATATGCGCGTGTGAAATACAAATGTTTTCTTTTCGCTGGAGCGTTATAAAAAATCTTTTTCAAAAAATAGCTGTACATGGCACTAGCCAGAGATTCAGGCTTTCGAATGAATACTAAACTCTTATACGTACGGAAATCCTTCCAAATTATGCCTGATAATCATTTCTTGAGCCACGCATGTCAGTGGTCTGTCAAGGAGGGCTGACTTATAGAGCCCGATACACGTGTTCCGATCTTGCGATCTCGTCAGTCGCGAAGTTACCCTTTCACGTCTTTTGCTAATCTCTGTGGGTGCTCCAGTCCCCACACTAAGAGTTAGCGACGACGAACGTTTTACACTCTATGTCCTGTGAGATTCTCACCGGACACAGAGTGTTGTACACCCGATTGCTCGTGGCTGGTATATTCAATATATCATGTCTTTCGTTTCAACTGTTTTCTTAAGACCACTGCTCAATTTTCAATATATTGAATATATCAGCCAAAAGCAATCGAGTGTACAAACATCTGTGTTCGGTGAGATTTTCACTGGACATAGAGTGTAAAACGTTCGTCGTCGCTAACTCTCAGTGTGGGGACTGGAGCTCCCACAGAGATTAGCAAAAGACGAGAAAGTGTAACTGCCCGACTGACGAGATCGCAAGATTAAAACACGTGTATCGGGCTCTATAAGTCAGCTCTCTTTGACAGACCACTTACATGCGTGGCTCAAGAAATGGTTTTCAGGCATATTGAAATCTTGAGCTGTGGTCCGAAGAAAACACTCGAATCGAAAGATATATTTTGAAAATACCAGCCAAATTACTCGAAAAAAAAACACTGATTGTTCACGTCGACGTCGAATAATGATCGATTTCTATATTCTAAAAACTTCTTCGATCATCAGGAGAGGGAGAGTCGAGTGGTTACTAAAACTCGGTATAGGTTGATTCTCCTCAGCGCTCCAACAACCAGTCCACGGGAGTACTAGGGAACACTCCAGCCTGGCTATCCTCAAGATTTCAAAGAGCACTCTGCCTGACCAGCACTCTACGACGTTCATGAGAAAGACGGACCTCAAGCAAGCAATGAATGTTAGGAAACGAATCAAATTCTTGAAGCACCGGTGTCCGCGAAATAAAATAAGTGCCGCGTCGTGTAAGTAAATAAGCGGGTGAATAATCAGTAGTTAAACAGATGAACAAATAAACAAACAAACACCTAGATATAAAGGATAAAGGATAAAGCTTTCGGCGCTGATCAATCCCTGAGGGATGCGCCATGCATTCGTCTTCAATTTTAAACTTCGTTTTGAGGTGAATGAAGTCTGAGACTAGTCTGGTACCAATTCATCGACCCCGGAGGGATGGATGGCTTGGTGAGCCATGAGCGCGAGATCGAACCATCGACCTGTGTGCGACGCAGAGCACCTCTAGCCATGCGCCACATGCACTCTTCTTAGATAATAATGATAAAAGGATAAAGCTCCCGGCGTTGATCAATCCCTGAGGGATGCGTCCATGCATTCGTCTATCAATTTTCAACTTCGTTTTGAGGTGAATGAATGCATATCTGACCTTTACAATACTCGCGGTGCCTCCCGTTTGACCGAGTCAGTGCTGCTTATCCTCCCAGACAAGTCTGAGACCAGTCTGGTACCAATTCATCGACCCCGGAGAGATTGATGGCTTGGTGAGCCATGAGCGCGAGATCGAACCATTGACCTCGTGTGAGACGCAGAGCACCTCTGACCACTGCGCCACATGCGCTCTTCTAGATATACAGATAGATAAATAAATGAATATTTTAAATAAATATTTTATTTTTGTCCACGAGATATTGAGAAGATAATAAAAAACATGTGGTCCTGCTACGAATGAACTGCACAAGGCCACAGTACTGCTCAGTGGGACGTGGTCGAGTCTGATTCGTCCATCAATGTCTGAGCCGTCGGATGGTTTTTGGTCCAAAAATTGGCCTTGGTCCACCAAATTGTCCATGATGAAGTAGTAGAGCGACTATCAGGTTCATTCTTGTCCCTTACTCATCAAGTCAACAATTCTTCACCCTCTCTGTGGCTTCTTATAAGCACGGACTATAGCCCGTAGATCCACTATGGATCAAAACTATCTCGGGGATTTCGCGGATTTCTAAACATTCCAATAAATCACTCAGATTTCCTCGGCTAATTTAGCTAATAACACGAGATTTATCGAAAAAAAATTGGTCAAAGATTATCCAAGTGGAAGTAAATAGAGCAGGAAAGTAGAAAACTTGGCATAAGCGGAATATGGGGCCCTAGAAATATCACGTTGTTTGATCTATTGTCAGTCTGATACCTCCCTTTTCTCAATGATCTTTTCGTGGACTCTTTATTTTCACGAGCGATCGACGGAGAAGCTCACTTTAGGCCACGATGAATAGCGCTATTTTTCGTGCGTTCATACCACGACGTAAAGACACTCTCCTCAAGGTCATCCTGATCATCGCGTGCTGCTTCGTATTCGTCTACTATGAACGATCCGGTCGAGGTAGGTGTGTTTTCCCTTGCTCAGAAAATCCCACGATGTCGCATATCCCCATCCGAAGTCTCATAGTAGCTCTCATTCTATCGTATGGTATCACTTAGTAGTAGTAGTAGTACTGGAGAGCTCATGTGGCGCAGTGGTTAAGGCTGCTGTAAAGTGCACACGTAGTTGATCAATTAATGGTCGATGGTTCAATCCCGCACCCATGCGGGGTCGGCGAATTGGTACCAGACATGCCTGTGAGGACTTTAGTACTGACTGGGTACACCGGTGGGCCGTCACGAGTTCTTATGAAGGCCAGGTATGCATCCAATCGCCTATATGTTTTAACGAATCGAATTGAATGCATGCAACGCGCATCCTGTAGGGATTGATCAACGTCGACATGTCTCTTGGTAGGGTTCCTCGATTATGCGTAGGCAGTGTTTGGCCTCCCAAGTTAGTCTCGGACTGATTTTTTGACCTCACAATCGGTATTGATGTGGGAACTTGATGGCCCCCAGGTCAGGGTTCAAACTAGCGACCATGTCAATCCCAGGCAACTCTAAGCATTGTGCCATACTCTTACGGATTTTCCATTACGGTGTCAAAATGTGTGGTTTCTCTTTTCACGGAAACATTCAAGAAGTTTCATTATTTAGCCCAAAAGGTAAGCCGACCGACAAAATGGACATGGGATCGCGGATCACAACGTGCGGATGGTCCAGGAGAAAATGGCCGCGGGGTGGTTCTAAAGGAGAGGATCAAAAACAAGCGGAGTTGGATATGAAGAAGTGGTTCATGAATGTGAAAGCAAGGTACGACAGAGCGATATCATCGAGAGCTTCAGTCATTAAGCTTAAATAGTATAAGTGGAAGCACGTCCGCGTCGTCGTCTCAGTAGAGCACGCGTCCTTGAATAGGATGTAACGCGGGTTCGATTCCCGCCTGAGGCCGTGTCTTTGCTTACCACTCAATTCTCTTAGTTATACAAGTAACATCATAACACTGCGAAAAAAGCAGTAGGAATACTATAATTTATAAGTAGAAGCTGGAAAAAATAGATGTTTCTAGTACTTTTGGTGAAGTTAATATCAGTGTTAATGTAAGAGATTCGATAATTCCGTCGACTCTTCGGCGTGGCGAATCTTAAGAAGAATTTTAGCAGCTTGATTTTTCTTTTCTGAGAGCAGCTGTTCATCGGGTATCCGCTGGCCGAAGTGATTGCGTAGTAGTGAGCATTACAACGTGTCACTGTCGTTGATTGCAGAACCTTCATATTGATTTTATCCCGTAGGGAAAGGATAATCAATCGATAATATTGATTGGCTCTCATAGAGCTTCTCCGATAGATTCCTTCTACAACAAATTGTTGGATTGGCAAGCAATTTTCCGGACTTTCGCCTTTTTTCTATTATTTTATATGCATTCGATTTCAGCTTCTACTGCCGTTTAGAGCAGGTCCTTGCGGTTATTTTGATTTACAACACTTATCATTTATTTCAGGATGGAATTGTTCTCAGGGCAAAAACGATTGTTGATGACACATGAGTATCGCGTGGGTTCAAGTGCTGCTTTGGCACCC